CAAAGGGTTAGCCAAACAAAAGTCTAATGTACAAAAGCAATAACCACTTATTGAATTTTAACTGATGCCTTTTTACATTAACCTGTCTTATTAGGGGTGTTGAAAGCAATTTTAGAAGGTGCTGGGCCAGCTGTGGAAAATGAATGTGCTGTACTGGATATAATCTCATGTTATTTTGCTACAATCTATTGAACGTCAGAGGGCTAAGACCACCATGAGAGGGTCTCTGGACAGAGTTGGTGGTGACCACCCATGGGTGAGCAGATACGGGGGTAATGACTTTGCAGCTGTGGGGGAGAGGTCCTTTATCCCACACACCATGTGTCTTGGGTGCAGGAGGCTCCATCATTGCCTGAGGTACCCTGGGCACATAATCTGATCTTTGAGATTTGCTTCTCTCATCGGTACGACGGTTCTGCTAAGAGGAGTGTGGTGACAGCTGTCCACACGTGGCGGTGGGGTCAGGGCAATGAATGTGAAAAGTTTTGTAAGCTACAAAATGCTGTATAAATGATCTTTTATTTTCCCCCAACCTTTTGCTACTGCTTACAGCACACCATGCAGCTGACTTCCAATCCTTTTGGGAATGAATGCAGAGCCTGGGTGGGTCTGAGGTGTTTGCTGACACCAGTCAATTCTCCAATTCTGACACCACCTACCTGGGGTTAGCGTCAGATCCCACAAGTTCAAGGGCTGTGCCCCACAAGACTGCCCCTACTTCAAATGCCAGTCTCAAGTCCCAGAGGCCATCTGTACTTCTGACTGACTGGCTTTTAATTCAGGAGTTCCCACAAACCTTTTCTCAGGTTTGACAATTTGTTAGAATGACAAATTTGTTAGAATGGTTTACAGTGTTCTAGAGGAGTGTGGACAGAACACAGGAACACACTTTTCTTAGGTTTACCAGTTTATTATAAAGAATACAGCTCAAGAACAGCCAAGTGCAAAAGATGCATGGGCCATAACATGGGGGCCAGAGCTCCATGCTATCTCCAGGAACACCACCCTCCCACACCTAGGTGTGCTGACCAACCCGAAGTTCCCACACCATGTCACGGAGGGGGCTTTATGGAGGTTTCATTATGTAGGTGTGATTGATTTAATCATTGCATTTGTGATTGACGTCCTGGAGGTAGGTAGGGGTAGCTGAAGTTCCAATCCTCTAATCTTGGCCTGGTCTTTCTGGGGACCAGCCTGATTCTGAGGCTCTGGAGCCCTGCCGCCCCCAGGAGCCATCTCATTTGCACATAAAAGACACCTCTCACTCACGAGATTCTGAGGATTCTCAGAACTCTAAGTCAGGAACAAGGGCCAAAGACCTAATATCTATTTTTTATATGTAGCATGGAACCTGTAAGAGTGATCATAAACTATTCATCCTTCAAAACCAGGACGCATGCCTTGCCGAACTGACAGTCAGTGACGAGTGTGATTTTAAGTCACCGTATCCCATGGTTGACAACAGATTCCCATAACGACCTGCTATTGTGCCTGAAACTCCCGCCTTGGTAGGCCTCCTCTGATTAAGACCTTTTCTCTGGCGTGAATACATTTCTGGAGAGAGATCAGAGGAAGGCGGTGTTGATCATCAACACAGGATGTTAACAGGAATTTGTGGGGAGAGCGAGCTGTACCTTGGAAGTGAGCGGGGACAAGCTGGAAGGGCCTAGGGAGGGAGAGCAGGTGGGACACTGGAGGCAGCCGGGGCTCTCCAGGGGGGCAGGCTGGGGTGAGCAGGACCCCACTCTCCTTTCCTCCAGCTGCTGGAACCCTGCTTCACTCGGGGTGCCAAAGGCCAGTGCCTTGATATAAGCCCTGGTAATTGCTGTGCGCTCAAGAGCATTCAGGCTCCTAAAGAAGAGAGACATTTTCACCCTTTCATACCTGCAGACCACAGAACACACTGCTTTTATCTCCTTGAAAAATTAATCCCTGTGAATGAGCACATAACATGCTCTTCTGGAGAAGAGAGTGAGAGCTAAGGGCTCTGCATACTGACTGCTTGGGTTCAAATCCTGGGCAGCCATAGGCTACTGGACCTTACCTCTCTATGCCTCGGCTTAATCTGTGAGATGGAGAAAACAGTGCCTACCTCATAGCCTTGTTCTGAGGACTGAGTGGGCTAATGCAGGTAGAGTGCTTTTGAGCAGTGCCCCAAATATTCAACAGTGTAGTTGTGGAGTTAAAGAATCCTGGTTGTAAAGAAAAGGAGCCTGTCACAGTCCCAGTGAGTGAAACCAGCTGGATCAAGGGAGGCTGGACTTGGTCAGGAATCTTCACAGCGTTTTTTGACGTTGACTATTTTCTTTTCTCAGTAATGTGATTGTTGCTTCCCATAAATAATGTGCTGGGTGTGGTTCCTTTCCCTCATTTCATTTCCGCTGCACAGCCTCACAGAGATTTTATAATTACACAAGGTGGACACTTAATGTGCAAGATAATAATTCACATTCTTGGGGAAAACAATGTCAGGAAAATGGTTTACAGTGTTCTAGAGGAGTGTGGACAGAGGCAGTACACATCTGTTTCCCTTCCGGCCATCAGAACAGGTTTGCAGCCTCTGATCATTCCAAGGTTCTGAATAATCCAGATTCCTTTAGATTTACTGTTACTGTTAGTGAACTCAATGCTGAGTACACAACAACAGTGATGTAAATCAAAGAAGGGCTACCTTTATGTCCCTGTGAGCCATCTATGAGGCCTATGCCTCTTTCATCCATCTTTCTTCTTTATTTTATGTTCCCTAAGCATCTTTTCATGTTTGGCCCCTAACTTCCTGGTTTGCTTACTATTCATTCATTTATTTATTTTTTGGGTGATTTATTTCCTCTCATTATGTCAGTTACCATTTCTTCATAGACTCTCAACTCATCATTTCTAGCCTTTTCTAAGATCTCACTGAGATATTTCAGTTACCAGAAATTTAACTATATTAGAATCCAAACTCACCACCTTCATCATCCCTTGCAAATAGCCACCCCTCCTGAGTTGTCTTATTTTATGGTTTCCTCCTTTGGTGGTGGCTGTATTTGGAGACAGGGTCTTTAAAGAGATAATTAAGTTAAAATGAAGTCATCAGGGTGGTCCTTACTCCAATATGACTGGTGTCCTCGTTAGAAGAGGAGATTAGAACACCAATAAATTCAGAGGGAAGACTGTGTAAAAACACATGGAGACGATGGCCACCTACAAACTTTGCAGAGAGGCCTCAGAAGAAACTAATCTACACCTTGATCTTAGACATCTACCCTCCAAAAGTGTGAGAAAATGAATTTCTGTTGCTTAAGCTACCAGTCCCTGGCACTTTGTTCTGGCAGCCCTAGCAACTAATATAAGGGGCATTGAAAGACTTCCTTAAGATCACACAGCTAATCAGGGGAGAGGCAGACATACGACCCAGATCTGTGTCTAAACCACATGTTCTCCTTTCTGCACTGCCAGCGCCCTTCAGCTAAAGAACCCCAGGAGCACACACTGCCAGGACCTATGAGCATTTCAGCAAAGGCTTGTTAGAAAGGATTTATTAATGGATTTGAGCTTGTTTTAGGTGATTATGGGTCCGTCTCAAGTAAGCAGGATTTTAGTCTGGATTGGTACTTTTAGGAAGCAGACAAAATTCTATGACTGGGTATGTTATCTAGAAGGAGAGATGAGTGTCACTACAGCTGTGATTAATGCAGCAGCAGTTGCTCATATTAATCAAGATATGGGATGTTTGGCCATTTTGTGGTTTGGGTGCTGTCCACGGTTTTGTCTGTGGTGGGACATGATTAGGCAGTGGTGTTGTGTTTGCCTTAATTCATCCTGGTAACAGAGTGGTCACATTTGATGAAGTTCTTTGAAACTGTGTTCAGCCAGAGAACACCAAGCCTCAGCTACAAGGGCCAGCTCAGTCCCTGGCCGTCAGGAGCTGCTTCCTTCTCAGCACCAAGACCTGCATTTGCTAAAAGACCAACACCAGCTGAAACTTCTTTTCATCAGTTAAAAAAAATTTTTTTTCAGGAAATTCTGGAAAAAACTGGAGTTGCCGATGACATCATCAGTGCTGTTGCAGACTTCACATGGAAACATTCCAGAGCACCAATAAAAAATGTTACAGTTGCCATCTTTAAATCTGAGCTGCTAAATGTCTTCTGTGACCACATGAAAAAAAGAGAAATCTCCGTATCACCTACCCTTCCATCCACATCCTTAAAGACTGCATGTAAGATGTTCTTTAAAAAGTCATGTGGGGTCTCTGATATCACTTAGAAAATGTTTAGATGTGAATGCCCACTGTTTTTTTGTCAGTTTCAGGACTTCTCAGACCACCTCTTAAGACACACAGGAAAACTACAAGAACTGTGAAACACAATCTCCTGTCAAATGATTATTCTTCTGAGGGGCCAAATCATGCCTGGGAAATAGGAACAGCAAATAAACAGGAAGAGATTCGAGGAGAGAAAGCAGAAAGACAGGAATAAGCACAGAAAATCCTAGACCAGATCTCATTATTTATTTATTGACTGCTATTGACTCTCAGTGTCCTTTGTCGCTATGAACTAGTTGATCAATACTTGTTTATTGATGACCCACCTCTAGACAAGTTAGCCTGGAAATAGAAGCAGCTGCAAGGAGGGAGTGGCCAGGGTCATCTATCCGGTTGTGCTACATCAGGAGCAGGCAGATTCCCAGTTGCTTCCTGTAAGGTGTGTGATTATGCTGTGTTTAAGAATCTGTCAACCTGATCCTCTGATCCAGCTTCCCCCATTTTGTGGCTTCTGTACTGCTGTTAAAACAACTAGAAATGAACGCATGCACAGCACACCACTGGCGCCTGCACTAATTCTCACAAACTCCACTTCCACCACTTCTTCCTGCTGGGTTCTGAGACACGAGCCCAGCTGTCCACCCATCGTGTGCTCTGGAGAGAAGACTGATCTTTACAGGAAGAAGGATATTTTTATTAGTGGCAAGAAGACCATTTCAAAGTGGAGTTGTCTGTCCTCCAGACATACAACAGTGAAATTCTTGTTTCAGCAAATATAGCCATTGTAGTATCTGCTGTTGACTCTATTCCTCACCATGTCTTCTCACAAGACTTTCAGGATCAAGCGATTCCTGGCCAAGAAACAAAAGCAGAATCGTCCCATTCCCCAGTGGATTCGGATGAAAACTGGTAATAAAATCCGGTACAGCCCCAAGAGGAGACACTGGAGAAGAACCAAGCTGGGTCTTTAAGGAGTCATGCATAAGATGGCACACCTATTTATGCTGTATCAAAGTCACATGCTCTTACCATCTCACTCTGTAAACACTGCTAGTATCTGGGAAACTGGGTGTGTTTTATTGGGGAAGTGATTTTTTTTGTTTCTGTGCTTCTGCACTAGTCTGTTTGTTCAGTAATACATACATGAAACCTTTTGCATGAAAAAAGAAGATGTTACAGAACCACTGGTTATATTCTTCACATTGCATTTCCATCTCAGTGGCCAATGTATATTATGATTGAGAATTTGTGCCTCTTTATCCCCCTCACCAACCCCATCTGCCCACTCCAACCTGTCTCAGTGTCTGAGTCTACTGCTGTTTTGTTCATTTTGTTTTGTTTTTAGATTCCATATAAATGTGAAATCATAGGGCATTTGTCTTTCTTTGCCTGGCTTATTTCACACAACATAATACCCTCTAGGTCCATCCATGTTGTCGCAAGTGCCAGGATTTCCTTTTTTATGGCTGAATAATATTCCATTGTATATATTCCAATAATATTCCAAGATGTACCACATCTTTTTTATCCATTCATCTGTTGATGGAAACTTGGATTGCTTCCATATCTTGTCTATTTGAAAATAAAGCAATAATAAACATAGGTGTGCATATAAAATAAAATAAAATAAACTAGAAACACAGCCTCCTCTGGCAGTCACTGTCTTTGCCCTTGAGGAGCATTCAATCCTAAACACTGCATTTTACTAGTGATGAGCCTTGTCTTTCATCAGTAGCCTCCCTATACTGGAAACTGTTGCCTGCCGCTGCCAGTAGGAATTGCAGTTCTCTTTATACTTATTTCCTGATAATTCTTCTCCTCAATGTGCCAACACATAGTACATGTAAGAGCTACACACACACACAATAAATAATCGTTGGATCTCTTAAGGCTCTTGTAGTAGCAAGTGATAGAAAATCCGATTTAAACTGGCTTAAACAAAAAATGGGATTCATTGACTCATGTGACTGTAAAGTCCAGGCATACCTGGTTTCAAGTCCAGTTTGATCCAGGTGTTCACATATCATCTAGATCCTGACTTTCCTCATCTCTCTCTTCTTGGCTGGATTGTCTTTATCCTCTGGTTTCACCTGGTGAAAGATGGCTGCTAGTAGATTCAGGCCCATGTCTTGCATGGTCAGTTCCAATAGGGAAGAAAGTATCCAGGGGCAATATATACTTATCATTGAGAGCACGATGCCGGGGAACAGAATTGCTCCTGTAAAGGCTGGAATTACTTTTGATTGAACCAGCTTAGGCCATCATACAACCAGAGACCTAGAATTACAGTAAGTGGCCAGTCCAGAGTCACATGCTGTACTCTTGAGCTGGGGGGGGAGTCACTATCTGAAGCAATGGGAAAAACTGTTTCCCAAAGGAAATTCAAGGTACTCTCACCAGATGAAGGGGAAAAGGACACCAAACAGTTAAAAATAATGTATATCTACTATAGTATTTATAAATTAATGCTTACCCCCCTTTGGTCTTTGTAGAAGAAAATTTTTATTTAAATATATGAGCAGTAAGTTATTATCAGTAAAGTAAAAAATAAAGTTAACTGGTTCATCCACTCCCACTCCTTGTTTTCATCAAGAATTTAAATTGACTTACAAAATTTTAAAAATAAAGCAGGGAAGTTCAAGAGAGAAACAAACAAAAAAATAACTAAAATGAGCAGACAAGTGGCCATGTGGCCCTTGAGGCCTTACGTCACCTGTGCTGTCAGAAGGAGCAGTAGTTAAAATGTCCGAAGAAAGGAACTTTGGTGGCAGAGATAAGCTTGAATTTCAGTAAGAATTTATCATCTGAACTTTTTTAAAAAAGCACTTATCAAGTATAGCTTTGAGTTTCATTTGAGGAGAAGACACACAATTACTTTTTCAATGTTTGCCGAAGCTATTTATTGATTCAGAAAGGCTTGGTTGAACACCAACAGTCCTTCAGACACTAGACCTGGGAGTCGTGTAAGTGGGTGGGTATGGAAGCCATTGGGTGTGGATGGGATTACACATGGGGGCTCTGAAGGGAGTGGACACTGAAATCAGAGCCAGGATTCAGGGTGTTTAATCCCACCTCCACATGTAGGGAGGCAACTGTGTCAGAAAATAGAGTGACACTTATCTTTTAAAGGAGATTTATAAGAAAGGGCTCAAGAAAGTTCCTGGCACATGGTGAACATTTATAGAAAAGTAACTGTCACATTATTTCCCATGAAGCACTGGGCTGCAAGTCAATAGAACACCATTCTGTCCCTTACTTTGAAGGTGGCCTTCCATGTAACACTGGGCGCATGAGCACAGCTGTCCTGGGATTTAGTTACCTTACGAAGAACCCCACCCTAACCCTAACCCTGGACCCTGAACCTAACCCCTCGCTGTCACCATCAACGTCACCCATCACCTCTGTCTATCCGGAATCACCACAAGTGGAGTAGTCACACAGTTTGGAATGGCTTAATGGTACGATTTAAGTCTTTCTTCTCAAGAAAATACCTTGATTTTAGACCTCATATCCCTATTAAATATAAATGTCTCTGGGATGTAGAACAGATAAAGCTTCATAGTTTTTTGAGAACAGTAACTGTATGTTTATGGAGGACTTGGCATTCCCTAAAGTGCTTTCACACCCCTTATGCTATTTTAAACTTGTAACAATCCCATGAGGTGGTGAATAGAAGCAGATTTTATCATTCCCATTTTACTGTTGAGAAAATGAAGATTCACTCAGAAGTGGCATTATGAATTCAACCCCAGTGGCCTCTCAGGTTGAAGCTAATCACTTCTTACTATTATCTTTTCAGAGTCTGGGGCTGACTGCACTCCTGAAGGCAATCCCCCTCAGGGTCTTTCAGGTGTTACTCTTTTTTTTTTTGTCTGAGTTCATATTTGACCACATCTCTCACTACTCACAGGATTGGAAAAAAATTGTAAGGTAGAATTAGTAAGGACATGGAATTTAATAAAAACAAATTTGGATTGTTAAGAGCAAGTTTTGCTGTACCATATGATTGCTTAGTTATAGAAAGCTTGTAATCCCAGGTGGCCATGTTATATTTCAAGTTACTACTTTGAAAATTAAATCCAATTGATTTGACAGGGTTATGCTTGTGCAGAAGACAAGAGTTAACATAGCAAGCCTGAGGCAGTTATCCTTTGAAAGGCCTGCTTGCATGGGTGGCCCCTGGCTGGCAATTGAACCTAGATTTGGGAAGGGATCCCCCAGTTCCCTAACTGATAAGAGGAGTGGCTCAGAGAGTGCCTAAGCTGTTTGTACAGGCACCGTGGTTCGTACTGATCACCTGCTCTCCTTCAGGGACTCTGGAATTTTGGTACCTGCTTGGCAGAAGCTGTATACCTTCAACTTTCTTGATAGACAACATTTCACACGCATCATCAACAGTTCAGTGCTGAGGGGCGAAGTGAAGCACACCCTGCGCAACCCCACTGGGAGAAGATCCCTGGAAGCCTGAGTCTGGTTTCCTCCAGACTTTTCCCCACGACCTTTCCCCTCTGCTGATTTTCTTTTGTACCCTTTCACTATAATAAATCACATCTGTGAGTATGAGTGCATACTGAGTCCTGTGAGTCTCCTAGAGAATTACTGAAACTGTCTTGGGGGGAGGCTTGGGGATCCCCAACACACTGTTGTTATTGCACATATAATTAAATCAAATTTCTGTCTGGCGGTCTACATGTGTAAACTGAGTTCTCAATCATACTTTTTCCGTAATGAAAGCCAAAAATAGTCATATTTATTCAAAATTAAGTGAATCAAGACTTTGTGGTTAATATAAAAGCAAAGGATAGATTTTAAGGGCTAAGTATGGAAACAGTTATATCCTCTATTAGCCATTTCCATAGAACTGATTCAATCTGGGATCAGGTCTGTCCAAGAATTCCAGTAGATTTTCTAAGGAGCCCCAGAAAGAAGTTTTCATTCACTATTCCTTATCACCCCTCTTCTCAAAGGATTCAAGCAGTACTAATTGGGAGAATTATAACACTAGATGCCTACTTTTTTTAACAAAAGAGAAAGGTCTCAAATGGTATAAACTTTATCTTAAGAAACTAGAAAAAGAAGAGCAATAAACCCCAAACACACCAAAGAAAGAAAATAAGGATTAAATCAGAAATCAAATGCAAGCAAAAATAGAAAAAGAGTAGAGAAAAAAAGTAAATCTGAAAGTCATTTGTTTGAAAATAATAACAAATTGGTAGAGCTCTAGCAGACTGATAAAATACAATAGCATAATTGAAATTCATGAGTCAGTGTCTTGCTTGAGCGTTTCAGCCCCAGGCAAGTTCACTATTTCGGTGAGACTGAGAAATGACAAGGGAGTGTCCTTGGGGTAAAAGGATTTATACCTGGCTTTATTCTCACACAGTAGGTTGAGCACTAGAACAAGGTCTGCATACAGCAGTCTATAGATTTGTAATCCACCTCTGTCTCTGCCACCTCCCAGAACACTAGGCAGAGCTCTCTACATAGTGACTCAGTCAATAATAGCTCATTGCTATTGGATGTGGAAGCAGTAGCCTAGCAGTAGGCCAATTACATCATCAAGTAGTTTAGGGTCAGGTAAGGATCCTGGCCACAGGAACTTCCATTTTCCCTACAGTCAGGCACTATATAATGTTATTTATGTTTTTATCTTTTTATATTATATAATCCTGAAAGCAACCTTCCCTAGTAAATAACATTATACCTAATTTAAAGATGAGAAAGTTAAGATTTATGGATTTCCGTTAATTTGCCCAAGGTCACATAGCTGGTAAAATCCAGACTTAGTCTTGAACCCAAGTCTGTTTGACCTAGACCCTAACCATCATTAACTACCTAACTCCTAATACCCTAAAGAGAATACAAGGGTGTCCATCTAGATTCGCATGTTAGGAATGACTGACTTTTCTCCCAGATGCTAGGAATAGCTGCTGCTGACAGTTCAGAGCATCCTTCACAGGAAATTGATCCCAGCCAGCAGAGAACTGCCTCCCCAGCCTGGGTGATGC